CAGATGGTGCCTCCATGATTCTCAGGGGCTACCTTCCCTCTCCCACTTCCCAAGTCCTCTCCTTTTTCTGCTTGTTCAACTTCTTTCCCCTTCCACCTTGGTCTATCTTGTGTGGCACCTTTCCTTGGTGATGCCTTGTGTGGCATCTTTCCTCATGCTTTGTCCGATAGCCTGAGCTGATGTGGCTTGGATAACTACCCACCAAAGGCCCAAGTGTCCAGGTGCAGGCTCCAGCTGCTCTGGTAGTTTTGGTTGCTCCCTTCAGTCTTTGATCAGCAACGCTGGCTCTGTACTCTGCCCCTGCATTCTCAAAACGTTCTGCTCTGTCTCCTCCCCTTCTCCACTCATGTCCACAGTCACCACAGCAGAGATGACTGTTCTTCACACTGACCGCACCCACCAGCTGCCTGGGATACTCTAGACCCTCCCTCCCCTTCACATCCTACTCCACCTGGTCCAGGTGTCCCCTTTCTTTCCAATGTCCCCTCCACATCCTACTCCACCTGGTCCAGGTGTCCCCTTTCTTTCCACTGTTCCCTCGAAATATACCAGGGAGTAGTCAAGGATGACCTTCTGCGTAGACCCAATACCTAAAGTAGACCCAACACAAAAAGTGGCTAACACCAAACAACATGCAATAAATAAAAAAATAATACTGCTTGTTTCATCAAACTTTAACTCAAAAGGACACCATGAAGAAAGTAAAAGGTTGTCTAATGGCATAGCAGAAGCCAATCAAGAGTGGTGCATGCCTGTAATCCCAGCACTCAGGAGGCTGAGGCAGGAGGATTGCTGAGAGCTTGAGGCCATCCTCAGCTACATGCTGAACTCAAGGTCAGCCCAAACTACTTAGTGAGACCCTGTTTCAACTTCCCCTTGCACCCAAAAAAGGAACAAGAGAAAATACTGGCACATCATATACGTGGTAAGGGATGATCCTGTCTAGGATATGTGACAAACGATGTGTCCATCTGTGCCTTTTAATCTTGTGCCTGCTCCTCTCTCTGCCTTTCCTGCTCTCCCTTCTTCTGCCACTCCCTAGAATCCCTGCAGGTTCTCTGATTTTTTTGTGATTTGGAGAATGAAACCCAGGCTATGCTAGGCAAGAATTCTATCTCTGGGCTGGCCTCAAACTCTCCCTCCCTTTAAAAATTTTTCTTTTGAGACAGGGTCTTACTAAGTTGCCTAGGCTGGGCTCAAATTTGTGACCCTCCTACTTCAGCCTCTCAAGCAGCAGGAACTACAGGCATGCACCATGTACCCATGTACCCTGCAAGGTTCCTAAACATGCCAAGTCGATGGCCACCTTGGGGCGTCTCCCTAGGTGTTCCTCATCTGCACTGTCCTCCCCAAATACCTGCCTAATTGCCTTGACTACTTGGTGTTTACTTAGCTCTCACCTTTGTGACCCAGCTGCCCTAACTCCAGCTTACCACTGGAACTGTGGGCCTCGTCACCTTCATCTGCTTTCAAGTGTGTGCTTCCTCAGCAATTTTCATCTGCCTTTCTGCACTCTGACTTCATTATTTAATAGTGACTTATTTTTAGAACCCCTCTTAGGATATGTGCTCCACATGTGACCTCTGCCACTTCTGTGACCTTCCCCAAGGACCTAGAGCAGTGTTTGCAGCTGCTTGACAGGTATCTGCTGAAATGGGCGACTGGAGGTGACTGCTAATGAGGACGGAGGTCTTCATGGGCTCACTGGGCCTGGTCTTCTCAGTTGCCCATCCGTAACTTCTCCCTCTACCCTCAGGTCTGAGATGCCCCTTTGCTAGCATCCTCCTCACCTGACTTCAAGGGATGGATAATAAGCAGCATGGCACCAGGTGAGCACAGAGAACCCAGGGGCTCAGCTGAGAGGAACAGTCCCAAGCGCTATGCCAAGGCCTCTGGGATAGTGCTGGTGCATAGCGAAGTTCAGAAGAGAACAAGAGAAATGTCTCCAAAAATGGGAGGGGAAGGAGTCACCCGCTCACCCTGGCAAACAGTCCCCGCAGACAGCATCGCTGGTGACCGAGCAGTTGGCCTTCTGGAAGCGGTTCAGTAGCGCACAATCCAGGCACGACTTGCACTTCTGGAAGCCCCAGTCCTCCTTGAACCGGTGCGGCCGGCATGTCACACACTGTGCATCTTCCCCATAGCCGAAGCCACATTCCTGTGGGGATTAATGTGTGACAGAAAGCTATTCAGACTTTGCTAGCGTGACAAAGCAAAGACTGCAGGGATAAAACCAAGAGCAGATCTAATAATGACTGAGTGTCGCCCTTCCTCCACCCACACAAAGGTGGCCTTTTCAGCAAGTTCAAATGTGCCTTCCACTGCTAATAATCTCTCTTACTGCGGTAAGGATACTTAGTCATCCACTTTATTCAAGAAGCTGCGAGTGTGTGAATAAGAAAAGGCCTCCTGCGCTCCCACTGTGGCACTATTGTTAGCTTAGGGCAGAATTATGACACTTTCTTCTTTTCTAACCAAGGCAGTCCTGTGAATATGCAGAAGCTGAAGCCAGGGCAACATTGGGACACTCATTCAACGATCGATCAAGGCAGAAAACATGCACAGGGGCTGCAACGTGGATATCTGCAAAGGGAGGACAGCTGCTTATGAGATGTCCTAGTTCTCAGAACAGAGAGCTCCGCGGAGCACTGAGGGACTCGCCATCTGCTCACGAGAGACACATCTTCGTGTACCTGTTAAAAGAATGCTAAGTTCTTGTCCTGACACCACTCTCAGGTGCTGATGGTCTCAAGCATCTCCAGACGTGGACAGAAACCCAGCATGCTTTTCATGCACAAGTGAGCGAGACGGCCTTCAAATGGAAGGCCGTCATCTCTGTGGGATCAAGATGGGAAGAGCTCCCAGCACAGCGTATAACAGGATTAAAACGTAGTTGTAAAAATGGTGTCGTGCGTGTATTATGGCTTAAAAAATAAGTTATAACAGAATTAGAAGTATGGCCCACGATTATAAACACTTGATAATCTTATTTTCATGCTGTCTTTAGTGCAATCGCTTCCTCAGGAAAACCACTTCCTTGTAGTTGCCCTGCTTGGTTTACTACGCCCTGGAGCATCTCTGAGGTGGTGGTCGTTTTCCTAATCCTTTTGTTAATGGGCTGTGAAACACTGAGGATTAGAGACTGCACTGTACATGGCATTGAGCTGTGAGTTGGTGGGGTTTATGTCAGTGCTTGGCAACTACTTGAAGATACTAGTTTTTGCTAACCTCTTCAGGAAAGTTGGCCTCCCAATTTGAAAGCTGGAAAATCAGCGCAACAACTGTTTCAAAAAGAATTTAAAACTAGTTTTTAGGTTTTCAGTACGTACTTCAAAAACTGCGCTCAACTTGAAATATCTGTGTATACTGATTCTCATTATAACAAATAAAATCTCAGCTGTGGAGGCTGAGCACGTGGTTCAGTGGGAGAGGACTTGCTTAGCATGTGAGAGGCCCTGGTGTCACCCTCAAATCCTAGCACCAAAACAAAATCTCAGTTCTGAAAAAAAGTATACTAACTTTAGTGGACATTGATTACACGTCGAGGACTTTATACATATCACCTCAAAAAGCTACGCTCCTTCTCAGTGAGAGACGCATTCTCTATACCCATTACAGTTTTGGAAGATGGAGCTTGGAAGAAGTTTCATAGCCAGGCTTTAACATCACTGTCCTATAACGATTCTGCCATGTACTTGTTTACACACATGACATATACCTGGGAAGATGTCTACAGGATGCACGGTCCTAGCCCTGGCAATCTGCGCTTTGGGATGGTCATGAATAGGCACAGGTCTAGGAGCTATAAGGAGAGCACCAGCAAGCCCACAAACACAAGCTAGATGGGGCACAGCAAGCAGGACTTGCGCAAAATCTCTTAGAGCCTCTACATTCTCACTCTGCAAGCTAGAATGCAAGTCCCAGCCGCTCAAAATTCCTAGTTTTCTATAAAACATATGCATTTTAATGTCTTCATTGATATTTACATTCAAAAATCAACAGAGCAGTACTTCCTCGCAAAAAATTAAATGTAAAATCAACACAAAAGGTAGGACTGCCTGTACTCAGTAAACTACTCAGTAAGAAGCAATGAGTAATCACTTTAGCCTAGGTATCTTACTAATGAACTCACTGGGGTGCCTTCTCCTTCCTCTTAGCTATTCTATCTTTCAAAGGCATCTTGAACAAGCCTTGAAAGATTCAAGGAGAAAAATCCTATATCACCAACCTCTCAATCCTGAGCACTCTAGCTACCTGAGGCACCAAGCTAAAGGCAGACAGGAGAGGGGAGAGACAGAGGAAGAGAGGGAGAGAGGAAAAGGAGAGGAAAAGAGAGACAGAACTAGAACTGAAGAATTCACAAATTAGTATCTTTTTAAATTGTTAACAGAGATGACCTTTTGACTGTTAGTGGAATTGCGAAGTGTTTTTCATTTTCAATTTTCTTTTCTTCTTTCTTTTTTTGTGGAACTGGGGATTGAACTCAGGCCCTGGCGCTTGCCAGGGAAGAACTTCTTTGGACCAGTGAGCAGCCTCTGTGGGGAGCCAGATTGCTGCTTTCCGGCTCCGCGCAGCCCTCCAGGCTGCAGGGGCAGAGGTACGCTTCCGCTGTGGGAGCACTCAGGGATTTTCTGGGCGAACCGGCGAGCGCCTCCCACACAGTCTCCCGGGATCAGAGCGCAGGCGCGTGACCTCCGGGCGGGCGCAGCATTGTTTCCTGCTAAGCATCCTCATCAAAGGCTCAGCGGGAACAGAGTGTTTCAAAGTCTTCCTTTGATCCAGGCAGCTTGGATTGTGAGAGACTCACACACGAGTTGAAACACAACAAAGAAGGAAAGGAGAAAAGAGAGAGGAGCAGAGGACGGGAAAATAGGGAGAAGGCAGCAGAAGGAGTGGAGCATTAACTGGAAATAAGCGTGTGCATTCTCCTCAAACTAGCTTAATACGTGTGTGTGTTCCTATATTGGGTCCAAAGGCAAGCGAGTGTGCACACACGCTACACCACTGTTGTTTTGAAACTCTCATCCTCGGTCTTTTCATCTGTGGGGTGGGCAGAACAGCGATGCTGCCCTACGGGGTTGTTTCGAAGCCTAAATGGATAAACATATAAACTCTAACTCGAGCACAGAGTGGGCATTCATTACATAAATTATACCTATAATTGTTATTATTTTGGACTTTGTACAAGCTAATAAATCAGCTTTCCTGATTCAAGAGTAAGGAGGCTTCATTAGGGAATGTGGGGAATCTCCTGACTCCACTTTGTTCTATGCAGGTTACTGGCAACACATTAGCAGCACTCTGAATTGAGCTGCAATGTTTTAATTAAAAAGCTGTTCGAATGGCACACATGATGTAACTGCCCATGACCTCTGAGTCACCGGCTACACTGTGCTGTCACACAAACCCCGCGGGACCCACGTCTACACCGGCTGCTCTGCTGGGCTGTGGCCCCAGCCAGAACATCCACACTCACTCCTGGCCCTTGCTGGGTCCCTTCCTCCAACAATCAATCCACTTTTTCCCTCCGTGGAGAAAGGAGCTAAGCATCCAATGACAGGAATTTACAGTAAGTATCAACAGGAGTTAATTCCTTTCTTTGATCCAGCAGACATAAGCTTAAGTATCAACAGTTTGATGGGCTTTCTTTTAGGAAAAAACAAAAACAAAACTGAAAAACTTACAGTATAGGGGAGGAGGTTTCGTGCTTACTGTGACCCCTGCTGCACCCGGATTTCCATTGTGTGTGAACCACGTGGGCCAATATTCTTCTATAATCTCACATTCTTTGTCATTCATACACAATCTTTGTTGTGGTGGTGGTGGTGGTGGTACTGGAGATTGAACTTGGGACCTTGTGCTTGCCAGGAAGGCGCTTATGTCTCTGAGCTAGCACCCTGGCCCTAACCCATTATATTTTGTAGGATGAGTACTTCATAAACTTCTCCTGCCCATTTTACACTGGACTAAATCATATATGGGAAGCAAACAAAGACACACTCTGTGCCTCATTTTTGCTGCCTTTATGTGGTTATCAACTTCCCGTGTACTTAGAGTACATGTTTTGGTAGCAACAGAAGGACTTTTTGCTGAGGTGAGTTTAGGACAGCTGAAACACGCAATTAGTATTTTTCACAAAATAATAAAATTTACTGGGCATATATGGTACAACTCCTGGGAACTTTCATAGAGATTGCTTATTTGGGAAGATTTTATCTAAAATATATTTTTTTCTAAACTGTTTGCCATTTTCAAAGAGGATGAGAAAATCAGTCTAATATTTTTATGCTCATAGAAATGGCTTACAGTGCACCATAGTTTAAGAAATTAATAAAATGACCATTCCATATGTTGCATTGACTAGAAACCTCGAATTATGTAGAAATTCAAGGAAGTCACTTCCAAGGACCTAAATTACAGGATGGCAGCACTTGTGTAGCTGACTGTCTCACTTCTAAGGCATCATAAACATAGAGGATCTATAATTATTTGTAATCCAGGCTATAAACTAAACAGCATATAAATATTAAATACCCCCCACTATAAATGTCTGCTTTGATCTTTTTACTTCATTCGGTAGAACCAGGTGGTTCAAATGCCTTGAAATCTTCCCCATTGAGTTCAATAAGTAAGTACTAAGAAAAGAGGCAAAGTAACTGAAAAGGGACAGCTGTGACCTCGACCGTACCAGTGAGGGTGGGCAGACGGACATGCTGCGTGCTGCCTCTCTGGCTACAGATCATTTCGTTTTCTTGTATTTTGCAGAGTACACACAAGATTTTTACAAATTCAACAGTACAGCTTTCTTCCCCTTCTCTGTTCCTTGCCTGCTCCTTCTGCACAGGTGAGCACTCTACCAGGTTTTGGGTTGCCTGCTAGAATGGCTAAGCGTGTCCCGCGTACACGCTGCACACTCCCAATAGCACTGTTCCACAGCAGCCTTTGTATCCTCCCTATTCACCGCACCTCGGGGAGCGCTCCCTGTGGGTGAACACAGGTCAGCTGTGGAGACCTGGCTGAGCGACACTCCAGCTGACTGCTCACCACTGCTCAAGTGCCAGCCAGACAGCAAATCTGACTCCACACGGTCCGCCGTCTGCGTTTGCCATGATCCCGGGGTCTAACTGCTCATCTATTTCCTAAAGACTTTCTGGATTT